CCTGCCAAAGCAGGCTCAGGGCAGCTAAACAACCAGGGGCACCAAGAGTGTGCAGTTCCATGGTACCCCCAGCCCTTAGAACTGCAATGTTAAGCTCTGGGGGCCTGATCTGCTGAATACTGACCATCTGTGAAGGAATGTCCGAATTGGAAGGGGCAAGGCTCTCAAGTGGAGTGATTTTTCTGCTATTTGGACTTTGTTTAGCCCCCCCAATACTAGTTTCAGAATCTCTTCACTTCCCAGTCACGGTGTCACTTACGAGCAGGTCTTGGCTTTCCTTCTCTACATCTTCTCTAGATGCCACAATTCTTTCTCTCTTCTTCTTCAGACTCTCCAGACGGCTGCAGAACTGATCCTGGGGGAACAGGAGAGGGGGGACACAAAAACTGAGATTTCCCCCCCCATTTTATTAGTTTATTATAAAACTTACGAGAAGCAAAACTGTCATTAAGGGCCAAACTCGATACAACAGCCCCACGTCTGTAACAGGACCTTCAACAACATTTCCCAAATGCTAAACAGAGCGAGCTTTCTCATGGGAATGGTGCCCCAGAAATATTCCTGATGGTCACACTGCTTCCTCAGGGGAGATTCACTCCACGCTTTGCCAACTGTTCCACCCCTGTCACAGGAGGAAGGCTTTGCATTAAAAAAATATTATACGTCAGTACATCACTATGTTGCGTTAACACTAAAGAAATATACCATTTTTAAAAAATAGCAAAAAGCTCACTGGGGAGGGGAGGAGAATGAGAGAACAAGTATAAAGAAAACAGTTGTGAGAGTAAACAAACGATAAAGATGGCGGGGAAGAAGGACAAAGAAAAACTTTTGAAATCGAAAGGGACTGAGAGCCCGAAACCGGAAGCTACTAGTGAGGTGGCAAGGTCTATAGCAGAATACATGCGTCCTCTGCTGGAACAGCTGAATAACTTCAAGGAACAGATGTCAACAATGACTCAATGTATTACCTTTCAGCAAACCCAGATAAATGAGACATTGCAAATAATGAAACAAAATACTGAGAAGGTAAATGATGTGGTTGCACTTACTCAAAAGGTGAAGAAAAAAGTGCAAAAGCTGGAAAGGAAACAAAGCTTCATGGAAGATCAGCTGCTGCAATTGCAAATGGAAAAGGCCAACATGATCCTTCGCTTCCAGGGCATGCCAGAGAATAAGGGGGAGAATCTTAAAGAAGTGATGAGCGAACTACTACCCCAGTGACAGAGATGAAGGCGGAATCGTTGCTAAGCGATATGGACGTGGTCTACAGATTATATTCGGGCTATATAAAGAAAAAGAATCTGCCTGCGGAAGTGGTTGTAAGATTCTCGAAGAGGCATGTGAGGGATGCAATCCTGAAAGTGGTTTCTGGAATATCCCTGAAAGTGGGAGAGAATACTGTCAGAGTATTAAAGGACATTCCATTTGAAGTAAGACAACAGAGAAAGAAGTATAAAGAACTTGTGCTTTTTCTTCAGACAAATTCAATTGGATATAAATGGTTATTTCCAGAAGGTGTCACTTTCAAGATTAAGGACAAAAAAGAAAAGATTGACTCTGTTCTGAAAGCTCAAGAATTTCTAAGGGTCCAGTTGAGAAGGCCAGAGGATAGCAACAAAGAAGAGGACAGCAAGTCCAGTGGCGAGCTAGACTTGGGTTCTTCTGGAGAGGACTCTATGTCAGAGCAAGGGGCAGCAGCCCCAAAAAGTCCTTATAAGTTACGGAAGAGAAGGGGAAAAGACAAGTAAAGGCTGAAGGACTCTGAATTGTGCCTTTGAGAACTTTGAAATGGGATGATCGGGGGTACTGTTTTTAGACAGTTAAATTTAAGCTTTAAAGGAAAAGTACTATAAATGTTTGACTCAGTTTATAATGTGATTAATGATGGGAAGACTTGATGTAATTAAGCTAGTAGGAGGATCTCCTCTCTTGGGTTTTTAGTTAGTAGTGGGTTCTTTACTTTATCCCATAAATGTAGTTTCCCTTCCTTTTTCTTTTGTTATAGTTTTTGTAGTGATATTAAAAAAATAATAAAAAATCCCCTCCGGGGGCTCAAAAAACAAAAACAAAAAAGACGCTGATCTCAATATGTTCAGGCTCAAATCTGCTGCTAAGTTTGTAATGGATCTCAGGCGTCTCACTGAGAGGAGGAGAATGCCAGGTAGGAGGTTAAATGGCTCCGGATTGGGGGGTGGGGGTGGAAATGTATATTTTCCAGTCCAATCTTTCCCAGCCTCACTTTGATGATCTTCCAAGAAAGACCATATAAAAGATGGGAAGACTCTTGTGTGGAAGCAACCACAGCTGTGGGAAGGAGCAGATTCTTTCCTTCCATAGTGCAGCGGAAGGGCTGTGGCTGTGATGGAGCATCTGTTTGGCAAACAGAAGGTCCTGTGTTCAATCCCTGACATTTCCTGTTGAAACGAATATGTAGCAGTTGATGTGAAAAAGACCTCCACCTGAGGCCCTGGAGAGCCACTGCCAGTCAGACTGGACCTGGACACACGAACAGCCTGACTCAGAATGAGGCAACTTCATGCATAGCTCCCCCCCTCCCCAAAATGCTGTCCTTCTGACTTAAACAGCTACCTCACAGCTGCTGTGTGCGATGGGGGTGGGACGCACACAAACACAGGTACCAAACCTGCGCACATTCTCCCCCCAGCCCCGAGGCAAACAGTAACTCAAGGACAGCAACGAAAATTGGGAAAGCAGCATGTGTGTGGGGGTGTTAAAACTGGGAGTCAGGTGGCTGCCCCCTCCTAGCTCAGCCCTGCCACAGGCTGGCCAGATGTTCACACAGCCAGAGAGGAAGGGAGTCCATCTCCCCGCATCACCCCACTTTAGCCTCAGCAGGGGGGGAAGGAGGCAATGCCCAAGGGAGCCACCTAGCCGGGAAGGAGGCAGCAAAGAGACCAAGAAGGAGGGGTGGATTGCTAGCTCTTCCCCACCAACGTCCACGCTGCTGACTTCGTACCTTGTACTCTTGGGAGGCCTCCTCAAGAGGAAGGGTCTCGTGATCCCTGTGCTCCTTGGATCGGTCACAGACCACACAGATAAGGGCTTGATCGTCCTTGCAGAAGAGCTTCAGCGGCTCCTGGTGCTTCTGGCAAACTCTCCCTTTTCGTGCTGCCACAACTGCCTGATGTCCAAAACGAAGAAACAGGATTAATTTCCCCTCCCCAGAACTGTACCTCCCCTTGTAATGACCAGATAGAATTACTGCCTTGTTCAGTTAAAAGATATAGATATTGATATAGATATATATAAAGCCGGATGCAACCCAGTGTACTCCTATGGGTTTGCCCTCCGTTGGAGTTGGGGGGGAGAGTTATTTTGCCTGTGGGAGGGAGCTGTAGGAGGGATACTGAAGAAAAAAGTTCTGAGTGGGGCCACATTATGACTTTTGTAGGTCCTGCCCCCTTCCTCCATAAAAATATTAAAAATTATATTTTATGACTACGTCGGGATAAAGATGAACACAATCCAGTCTGGATTATATTCATCTTCATACCAATGCAGTTGAAGTATATATTAGGGTTGCCAGTTGCCCCAGGCATGGCTAGACCACACTGCCCTGCCACCGATCAGCTGGCCGGCTGAGGGGTGGGCTTACCCCCCAAATGACCCAGGACTGACTGATGTCACTGCATCGTGTCTACCATACAGCTTTTGCCCCAATATCAGAGCGAGAAGTACAACTGCACTAAGGCTAAGCAGGCCTTCTATTCGCCATCATTCAGTTGGCGCCTCTGGCTGAGGCCATACAGTTTACAGTCACTAAGTTTCTCACTATAGTACAAACTAATACTGCATATCTACAGTGTTCCCCGTTTTGATCATTTTTAATATAACTTTACATCCTCCAACATTTTATTTTTTGTTTTAGGCAAAATGTAATAGATTTTCATGTACTCTAAACAGTTCAATTTTTTCTGATGTGAGAAAAATATTAAAAGTTCATTTTCCCCTTCCATTTTAAAAGAAACTGAAACATTTTTGTCTCCCCCTAAAAGTATTGTGGGCCTGAGACACTGTGCCTAATGGATACGTTGGTTGGTTCTGAGGAAAAAAAGAGAGAATTCTGAGGAGAAAAGGGAGCTGTAGGAGGAGAACTGAAGAAAAAAAGAGTTCTGGGGAAAAGGAGGGCGAGAGAAGCCATCTTGGGTTCTGATACAGAGGCCAGGGAAGCCTCAGTAGAGCTGCAGCCAGAACCTCAGAGCACCTCAGAGCACCCAAGCCCCAGCAGACAGAGTGGGAGAGACTCGGAGAAGGCCTCAGAGAGACAGGAAAAGACTCTCATCACCTCTTTGGTTCTCACTTTCAGTTATGAGGCCCACATTTGAGTTTGCTATGCGTGTGTCCTGCTCTGATTCCCCAACCCTCCACTTTGGATTAAACCCAACTTGTATATTAAGTTCATAAGAACATAGGAGATGTTGGATCAGCCCAAAGGCCCATCCA